TCTCTCGTCTCGGAGCTTCATTATTGGCGTTAAACTCCTACCCGGTGTTCAGAGCAGTAACCTCCCGTCCCCCCGCTCCTGCCAGGGCCCACATCTGCCACGACAGCCGAGACAAGCAGTGTCCGCGCGCGCTCCCGCACGCTGGGTAAAGCTGCTGCTGATGGAGGATTCGTGCGGCCATGCCGGACGGGGAGTTGGGAGGATGAAGCACCCGTCCTCTGCTGCCGGTTCTGCAGGAGGGCTGGCAGCTGCTGCTAGAGGAAGGCAGCAGAAAGCAGGCAGAGACTAAGCCACTGCAAGGCTTTGCTCAGTGACAGTGCTTGACGTGCTTGTCACATCGGAGTTTCGGAATAATCAGCCCTCCAGAACCACGTACAAGCGGTATTCCTTTGGTTTCCCAGTCTCCATCCACAGCACATCTCTTCCAGCAGGAGCTGTGTGCGTGCCTGAACTCATACTTCCACTGAACATTCACCTCATTTAACATGGTATCAAAAATTCTGCAGCACGGAAGCCTCTTTACCTAAATATAACACAGAAGTCATTAGCATTTTGGATGAGTTAAAAATATGATATGTGGCAACACAGATTAGGCTGTATGTTCTCTGAATCACAGATGAAGTTTTAATTCTGTGCCTGTGTATCATTTGTCTTGTTCTGAGACTGACCCAAGAGTATGAGACTACAAATAAAAAAAACAAACCTTCTAAAAAAGAACTATTCGTTCCAGTAAATTACATTATGTCTAAGTTTCCCTGAACTTGCAAAAGACGATATAGCACGTTTCATTCCTTGTAAGTTGCTTGTACAAACCAGGACAGCACTCTTGCCAAGTTCTCTGAGGTAAGGTGGGACAAAAAACATGCATAAAAGTACAGTTTACTTTGAGGTTGGAACTATCCTTTACCGTAAGCACGCTGCGAAGGGCTCAAATGCAAGACAGTGCAAAGAGAAAACAGGAACAGAGATCTTACTTCCTTTTCCACAGAGCAACTAAGAGCTGTATTGGAAACAAGTATTTTTCAGTGGTTTAGATCTACCATCACATCACACAGCATCAGTCCTGAACAGAGAACAGAACTGCAAGTTCTTTGCCTTTCCTCAGTCTGAAATTGGTGCAAAAAACAAACAGAGGGAAAGCAGCAGGATGAAAACGATGAACCACTTTTACCTGAAGCAGTAATTTTAAAATGTAATTAACATAAATATTTCCTTCATTATACATTAGGATAACTGTTGTGTACATCACTATCACAGGTGGTACGATGTTCGATCTACTGGGACAGCAGGCAGAGTAGTTATTCAGTGACAATGAAGATCTCTGCTCCAGCTGGCTCCATCTTCAACACTGAAACATGAACAGTCTTTGGATCTTGAGAATCTACAACATGAATCTTCCCACACTGACAGTTTCTAAGGTCAGCATGGGCCATGTCAAAAAAAACTGCCAAAGGTTTCAGGAAAGTGAAGCCTACAGTATCACCTCATGAAACTTTGTATCTAGTTTGTCTGACCTATGAAAAAGATTTCTTGATGTAAACTCTTACACAGAAGCCCAATCATTGCAAAGAATTATTAAAAAAAACCCAAACCCACAACATTTAATCTTTTACACAACTATAGTTGTTTCTTTTGTGGACATTTTAGGAAAACTGAGAAAATTTTTTGTAAGACCACTTAAACTGATGGAGCTGTTGAAGTGCTCAAGTAACCTCTGAAACCAAGCCCGTTTTTCAAGAGCAGTGAAAATAGAGCAATAGAGAAAGGGAGTCAATGTGGCCTGTGATCGCCAAGATGTAAAAATTGTCTGTAATGATGATAATCCCCTGCATGACGGTTTGTTGCAATGTTTCGAAAAACCTTGATTAGTCTCTATCTGTAACATTGAGAACCTATTCTTTCAAGACTGACATAACCTAATAGCAATTTTGCTTGGGTTTGGCCCATGTTCACCAGTCTGAGTCAAAAGGTAACAAGCTTGGGGAGATGCTACTACAAAAATAGACAGGTTTTACATCTATATACACGGTCACCTGAGGTGTCTGCTGCCCTTCAGACAAGGCTGATAATAGGGAAAAGGGTACATGTTGATAGGTTGAACAACATGGGAAAAAATGGGATGTAAATACAGAAATTTAATGTTATTCAAAGCTGATTAAAGTAGCTCATGGTGACTCAAGGTGGCTTTCTTATTGAGGTTATGGAGCAATAGCTTAGCCAGAACTCTCTACACCAAACACAATTATAACTCATCAGAACCATTTTATACATAAACAAATTGATAAGTATGATTAACAGAGCTGGAGCTAGGCTTGACCAAGGCAAGTTTGAAGATCCTTGTTTAGCAAAATCCCAGCAGTATGGAAATCTGAAGCTTGAATTAAGCTAGTCCACGATACTAGGAAATACGAATTGCCACCTCAGATGCCTGCACAGATGTCTACAATACTGAAAGAACAGAACAAAGTTCATCACCCACCAGAAGGGCAGCAGTACACAGATGAGCGTTAGTCCAGAATTCTAGTAATCATTACCTGCCTTTCAACCAGGGCAAATGCATTGTGTCAGCTCTGTAACAGAATAGCTTGTGAGAACGGAGAATACCAAGTTCATAAAAATCCTCAGCGTGAGCATAGACCACATGGAAGAGAACTGCAACATGCTTTACCTCCCACCCCTCCCTCGCCTTGCAAAAAAACCACTTCCAGATGTAGTCATACAAGGCAGTACTAATAAATACTGTACTAGAGATGAATATTTACAGATCCTGCATATTCTTCATTCCTAAACCTCAGATATATGAAAGGATTTACATGGCAACTTTTAATTCTTTTGAGAAGATGACCATTGTCTTCTAAGAACCTATGAGGAAAGCAGGTCCTCATGCTAGGTCCAAGTTAGACTACATGAACACTCATCTGTTCTCATCCAAATTCAAATACCAAAGGTCTTACCTGTACCTTGCACTGATCTGAAAGCCACTAGTAATTTATCCATTTCCCTACGGATAAGCAGCTTACAGTAAAAAGTTTCCTAGATTTAATTCAGTAACTACACATTTAACAGCAAGATGACAGAGCTCATAACAAACTTGCTCACCTTTTTCTAAAGTTCAGCTTATAGTTGTTGAATGATCAAATCTATTATTTAATATTCTCAATAGTTTGAGATGACATCAAACCCCCACCAGATTAGTATATAGTAGCACACAGTATGTTGCTGTTAAGTATAGACACCACCATAAATGCATTTACATTGTTAAAAGACAGATACTGTGAGAAGCAAAGCTTGATGCTGCAGATACTTTGTTATTAAAAATGCTTTGATCCTACTGCTCTAAAAAGAATTTCGGAGATAATGCAAAGCTGACTTTACAAACTTAGGAAGCTGGAAGTTCTCCCTTCTAATTAGGTGATGCCAAGAATGCAGTAACTAAGTAAGTGTATAATATCAATGTGCCCCAATTAAATGCCTTGGACCAATCTAAAGCAGTAGTTAGTTTAGTTCAACTGGCACACTGCTCAGAACCAAGGGGAAAATTTTTACCACAGTGATAAAAGTTTATAGCGTAACTGAAAACTGATGCAAAGAGAACTTTCCTATCACTGTTGATGGATTTGTGTTTAAGTCCTATCAAGAGGTGCCAGAACACCTTATGTGCCAGCTAGCCTGAGAAAAAGAACCAAAATTGTGCACAGAAACAGCTCTGGTAAGTTTGAAACAAATGAAGGAACAAGGCCAGCAGTATAGCCCTTACATTTAATCTGTGTATCCTTTGATCTTTCAAAGATATGCCACTAATTTTAACAAACAAGTGACACTCCTATGTATATTAATAAATATAATGTTTGACTTGAAGTTGTCATTTGAAGGCTCCAATGTGGTATGTCATTATCAGGAGAAATGCATGGTGACTGAATGACAAGATGCTGTCTTCCAGATATCCTAGTGAGAAAGATAATAAATGCAGTCAACAGGTTGTCAGTTAAAGTTGTTATCTTTAATGAAATGACTTTGGAAATAGCATCAATTTCCATGACACCAACATTTTGGGAGTCCCATAAAATGCCGTTACATTCCAATGCCAATATTACAGGCAGATCTCCTTTCACATGGCAAATAGGATCAAGAAAGCAACCATCAGACAGAAGAGACCCATAGCTTCAGACAGGGCAAATCCCAGGATAGCATATGAGAACAGCTGCTGCTTCAGAGAAGGATTTCTAAAAGAAAGCAAAGGTGTAAGATCTTTTTAACTTTACAATTAAGATGTTTTTCATACAGTTTAATGCATCTGGCAGATTCAGAACCTCATATTTCCTTGACATAGATTCCATAACAGGAAAATCCAGTAAATCCAAGCAGAAGTAATTTTTAGTAAGGATTTCACTGGAGACTAATGACTTGGCAATTAAGACTAGATTCAGGTTATGTAGACTGTATATGGCTTTTCCAAATGAGCACAGTTTTTGTGACCTCATTCACATATGCTTTTGAATTTGACTTCTCTACATTCTCCCATGTGGAAACTATCAGCACTATGCTTTATAAATTTATTTCACAACTGTGACATTAGAATTATATTCCAAGAAAGTCCGTGTATAACATTTTAAGTAGCTCTCAGACAAATACAGGAACTGAAACCACCTAGAGTAAAAAAAAAAGAAATACAGAGCAGTTTGTTGCAAAAATGCAATGCATTATCCCTCCAAGAAGTGTGTGGGAGAGGAAAAAAAACCTTCAACATCATACCATGAAGTAATGTTCTACAATCTCTTATCGGCATGTTCATGCCAAATTCAAAAAAGGAGACACTAGTTTTGTATGGAAAACACTTATGTTTCTTCAAGTGGAAAGTGAACTTCCTTGTCTTCAGTAGGGCTTAAAAGTCTTTAAGCAATTAGACTTAAAATTAAGTCTTTACTTGTTGAAAGAGTAATGAAGAACATGAAACCTTCAGTAAAGCTTTTTTTATGCCTGTATCAGTTCTGCTCTTCCATGATACCATGTGAACTATTCCTACCACAGGAACATTGTAAACTTATCTGGAAGATAACTATAAAATCCCCACCCTCACCCACTTCAGATTTCTAGAAGGAATGATTACTCACTTGATAAAGTAATTACATATTCTGAGATGCAAAGCTGAATGTGTTATAAAGATGAATTAAGTATCCTTTTCTAAATAACAATCCTGACCACTAATTGTAAAGCATACAAACTCACATTACTTACTACCAATTTTTATGCAATTTCTCTTTAGGACTTCCCCTCCCCTTTCACATGGGAAAAGATCCAGGCTAGATTTCTAATTCAGTTCTAGAACTGAATGCTGAAACATTGGACTTCAGTGACTGAAACACTGACCAAGCCTAATCTCATTTCTTTCATATCTCTTCTCCAGGTAGTGCATACAAAGTTCTGAATTCAAAAATACAGCCATCCTGATGAATATACTACAGTTTCATATGACTGTATTTAGCCATGTTTATCATGAACAGTGTTGATTACAGTTACTACAGCTCAGCTTATCTGGGGGTGCTGCCTCAAGATACATGTGCATGCAATTTAAGTTTTATAAAAGAGACTGATTACCTGGCATAACCAATGATTAGACTACCGAAGACTGTTCCAATACCAGCACCAGAACCAGCCACACCTACTGTGGCAGCACCAGCACCAATAAACTTGGCAGCAGTGTCAATGTCCCTGCTGATAGCACTAGTTTGGAATTCTCTAAGTGCTAGTCGGGAGACAGTATTTTGGGCCCCATTAAGTGTTGAGTTGCCCTAAGAAAACAAAACATGAAAAAACATTATATTCAGACACAGACCATTTTCTATGACTATTTTGATAGTGTTATTCTGCAGTTTTAAAAGCTGTGTTAGATCCAATGTCTAGTTCCTCTTCCAAGCAATAAAACTATAGCTAAGAGTTAAAAACTTCAGCATGTTACCCATTCCACCTGAGAGCAATCAACTTTAAATGTAAAAGACTTCTCAGCAAGATAGCAACAAGTATGATTAGGTGTTTGACTTAAAGCAAGTTTCACACTATAGATGTTTGAGTTAGTACAAGTGAACTCTAGGTTGAGGACATTTAGGCTCACCAGATAATTTAGGAAGATACAGAATTTTGTTTATAAGGTACCTCTCCAGTCTTGACCTCTGGCCTAGACAACACAGACGCCGAAATTGGTCTGTACAAGATTCTTGATCCAGCACGGATCTGAAAGAGGAGGAAAAAAGCTATAAAAAGAAAAAATATTTGATCACAGCTGTTCCCATCCAATAGTCCGTAAGATTATAATGCTATTATCTACTCAGCCATTTGTCTTACTTGAAAGACAGCAATCTTTGCACAGCTGAATATGCAATAAACAATACAGAAGCAAACACTGCCATGCAATTCAATAACACTGTTTTCAAGATACATTATTGTGAATAGCTAAACCATTCAGTGCACCTGCACCTGCATTATACTGACAGAAAATGTAGCAAAACAGCGACAAAAAAGCCAGACAGACCAGCAAGCAGTGATACACCTTTTGAAATGAATAAACAAAACCCATCAAAATGAATTCCAAAATGCATAGACATAACCTAGGCTTTTAAATCTAGCGAGGCATAAATGAATGAATCCTCTTTCACAAGCGGCCTGCATGTGTCCTTGGGCTTCCAGCAGTCTAAGGTCATATCGGCTCTTGCACAAAGCTCTTCCTGCAGGAGAAACCTGTGCCTGCACCATGCAAAGCGAGACGTTCTGCAGACTAGGGAGGACATTTTAAAGCAGGATAGTCTCTTATCTCTGCAAGGGCAAAAAATCCCGGCCTTGGCGCAGGACAAGTAACAGGCTGGAGTTTGACCTACAGCAAGGAACTGAGCGCACCAGGCCCAAGAGCTTTTCGCTGCGCTGCCCTCCCTTTTCACCGCTCGTGTGGGAAGGCCCCTCACCTTGGCAAAGGGCCCTGGCCCATGCCAAGGAGGCGGGAAGGAGAACCCGGCCCTG